CTCCTGAACGATTGTCACATCTGCTCGACCTGCCTGGCGCCCGCACCACGGCGCCTAAAATACCCTGGAACACTGAAGCCGCCGAAAACTTGTCCTCGGGATAATCTGCCCACTTGAAAATGAACACTACTGCATGAGGTGCCAGTGGAGTTGAACACTGAAGGAGCTACATGTGACAGCGCATTCTGTTGCTCTTGTGTGCACCCTTTTCCGAAATGGTGATGCCTTCCTCTGCTTAGGATGTCTCAAATTATGATACGCGGTGTAGTAGGATATTCGACGGCCAGACCAACGTCCACCGAGTCAAGATGACGAGAAGTCAATAAGCGACTTACATCTGCATCCGGGGTGCATGCAGAAGTATGACGCAGTAGGGGTAGAGGAAGTGCATGAAGCGGTAGCAGGCTTCGGCAGCGAGGATACACGAGATATGAGGCGATCACAGTGAGTCGAAGTAGTTGTGGTCCGCGCGAAAGTGCGCATCAGCATAAGTGGGGAATGAGTGTATAAGAGCTGCTTTGCTATTGCTGCGAAAGTTTCCCAGCAATAAAAAGCGTTTTTGCAAATCGCTTAGAAGATGTAAATGGGTAACTTTTGTGGTATGGCCACATTTTACGAGCCGAGGATAATACCATCGCGGCCATCCAATATCAGTTCAAAGTTGGCGGTCAAGAAGGGGCAGAAGAAGACCGGAACAGAGATAGCAGTGTTCAGCAAATGCTGATATGGAAAGGTCTATTTCCTCAAAGAAGGTGCACTGGAGTGCAAAGTGGGGGCACTTGATTTGAATATTGGTTGAAAAACTCGCGTTTACTAAGAATTTTCGCGTTGTCCTCTTGTCGGAAGCCGTTCTGCAAGCTTGATAAAAGCTGTAGTGTACCTTGTCCATACAACATGAATCATTACTACCCCTCTGCGGAAGACTGTTTCTGATTAGTGCTGTAGCCTAAAATAATATGTGAAAGCGATGGGCCGATAACGCTCCAATCTCAATACGCGATGCAGCCGCCGTACGCTCAATGCATCGGCTTCATGTTGTTTCCTTAGGACGGTGTCATTATAAAGTTTTCTCGGAGTCTCATTTTGTGCATTGCACTACTTTTGAAAATTTAATGAGTATCAGTGCTTTCGTTCAATCGATCCGGTAGATGTTCACATGTACTCATGTATTTATTGGGTGATCCATCCACAATAACGATTGCTTCAGTAGGGTGCAAGTGGATCACGAAAAGAATTTAGGCGTGAGGTTGAATGCAATGCGATAGATGCTACGGACTAACACGTATTCGACGCGCATTACCTAAAAAAGCTTTCGCAGCCCCTTTTTCATGTTTTTGATGGTCTCAAGAGTTTTTGAGTTTCATTTTATGATTTCTAGCTGATGTTGTTTGCTTTTCCAATACAACTATTTAGAACCATCGGAATTCGGAACAAGGTGGATCCTTCAGAAGACATGATGTCGACGGGAAGTCGGTAGAACTTCGTGTAGAGGAAGGAGTTGTAGAAGACGGTATTAGATTTTCTTCGGTGGTCGAGAAAACTGGTAAAAATTTACTCTCGGTAAAAAGGAAAGATAAAGGCGAAAAGCTATCATTCTAAGCCTATGCATTTAGTTATAATCACGCCGAGGCAACAGGGTTGGCTTGCTAGTTATGGGACGCGTGCACTTTGCATGGACGATACATTTAAGTTGACGGCTTACTGCCTCAGACTGGCAAGTGTGATCGTCGTGGGCGAGTGGTACAGAGGCAGCTGCGTACTTGCTATCTAACCGGTTCTTATATCGTTAGTTCATTACACTATCTATTCATAAAATACTGCTGCCTTGATTTAGCATGAGCGAAGACGAGGTCGCTTCAATGTTCAAAGAAGTGATGTGCTTTTGCCGTAATTTGACGCTCATTTTTTATGAGTGATGATTGCAACTCAGTTTACAATGGCTTTACCAGAGTGTTCCCATATTCGATAGCACAGAAACTGCTCTAGTCTTTCCACATCATCCAGGCGATAAACAGAAATTGCCGGATAAAGTTGAAGCAAGTGAGCAAGTATGTGCATATGTCATTCATCCATCTGCATCACTCACGAGTGGTTGGTCTAAACGATGGTCTCACCTAAGCCGCCGAACTCTACCAAAAAAGAAGAGTGTCATCTCACCGCCAGCTACGAATGTCGAAACGTCGCCACTCGTATCGAATGAAAGTGTCCAGTTGCTAGACAAGATAAAAAATATTCTTGCCAACAAGGCTCCCGAGCCATACCTCTCTCGAATCAATCTTCAAGTAAATTACCGAGCTTTTCTAAGGAATCTGCAGAGGCAGAAAAGCTCCAGCAGGTCAGTAATTCTGTTCGGTGTTCCTGAACCAGATAAGCATTTACCGGCTTCTTCGCGTCAGGCATACACTGAATCAGTCGTTACTGGCCTGCTGGACGCTCTCGACATCGAAACGCGTCCTGTGGAGATACATAGGATCGGCAACGCTGTTGAGGGAAAACCCAGACTTGTAAAGTGCCTACCTCCGTCTCGTCGACACTACCTTGAAATATATCGAATACTATCGAGAGCACAATCATTGCGCACGATTCCAATGTATAAGGATATCTTTGTGAGGAAATCGATGACCAGAGAAGAGCGCGAGAAATACAAGGAGCTACGTAGGCGATCCAGTGAACTTAATAAGAAAGTGCACTAACGAGTGACGCGTATTTACGTTGTTTGTAAAGGAGAGCTTACCAAAATAACGGACCCACAACCGAGGTAAATAGTTCTCACTCAAATGACCGGGGTTTTCCCATACGCCCTGGCCAAGCACAACCACTGACCTCCACGTGTACATTACTAAATGCTAGAAGTTTGGTGAACAAAATTTTCCATTTTCATTACTTCCTAAGCAGCGTTAAACCTTGTATTGCTTTTTGTGACTGAAATTCGGTGGTGAAGCAGGTTCAATTCCTGATTCTTAACGAGGGGGATGTTGAATGAGGCATTGATGACGTCAGAGAGGTTGCGATGGAAGTGAATAGTAAGAATTGACGGCGTGCTTCGAGCTGTCCCATATATGTAGTGTCATACGCGAAAGGACAGGATAGCGCGAAAAAGAAGAGGTGTTTGTGATGTGATAAGCTTTGATATTGTTCTGCCTTCTAGTCGTGAACATCGTTTCTTACTTATTTACCGCCCACATAATTAAAATAGCGTCCAAGATGACCTTTTGTTATTAGTCATTTATGACTTGATCTGCAGCACCTATATTCACAACTGTATTGGAAGACCTGAACCTAATTGGTCAGTGGAAAGATTGTCCTCACCAAACAAGTTCCTAACTCTATTTGACTCATTATCCTTGGTGCAATTTGTTGACTTCCCAACTCGTGAGGGCAAAATCCTTCGGACCTAGTCTTTTCCATACAAGACACCATCTCCCACATTTATGCCGCTGTCTACATCTGATCATGCCACTGTCGCCTTTACCATGCCTACAATCATCAGGGATGAACGCTCATTCGTGACTTTAAATTTGCAAACAAAGATGTAATCGCTTACCATCTATCTCGTATGAACTGGTATGAAATCTTTGATAACTATCGAAGCATCGATGTATTTTATGGACGTTTTTGCTATATCATTCACTACCTTATCGATTTATTCGTTCCCCTGAAAGAAATCATCGGTCGTACGTGTAGTTACCCGATCCACATAAGAAAGCTACTCCAACTGCGAGAAAGGCTGTTCTTTCAGATAAATCATCGTGTGAAATCCACTATCTACAGCGGAGCGCTCACCGGACGGTGGGGCGTTCCCTACGACCACGCCGGCGAGCGTTCCGCTGATTGCGTGTCGATGGAAAGCCGAGAAATTGTAGGAAATTATCATCATTGCCTCTCCGTCTCTGACACTGACTCTGCGCTCTAACACACCGCTGCTTCGCGCCCTCTACTCACTCTTCCGTCCTGCACTCTCGCCGATCGATAATGGCTGACGCTGCCGATCAGCTGATTCCTGCCGCATTTTCTCCGAATTCCTGCCATATTCAGCTTGAAAAAGCTGAGATTTTTCGACTTTCGGCTTCAATCGTTTGAAGGTGAGTATTCTGACACAATCTGCATGAATTTAGCTTGAAGTTCCCTAAAACATTTTTTCCTCCCGATTTTCCAAACTTTTCCATATTGTCCCCACTTCTTTTATGCTATTGAACGGGTTTTCGAAGTAAGTGTTCCTAGATTTGAATTTAATCGTTATTATGCGAGAACGCATCTCTACTTTCTATTCTGGAGGTTGAAGGAAGAAAATCAGAAGGAAGAAAATGTTTTCTAGGGGAATTTCAAGCTAAATTCATGCAAATTGTATACAATTTTAGGAAGAATACTTAGCTTCAAACAGATTGAGGCCGAAAGTCGAATATCTTCAGCTTTTCAAGCTGAACTGTAAGAAAAATTAATTGCGAAAGTGCGCAAATCAGTTGCTGCGAAGAAACTTATCGTATCGGCGAGAGTTCAGTAAACGGGAGAGTGGGTAGATGTGCGTGGCGGCCTGCTTAGAGCGCAGAGTATGTCAGACGCGAAAGGGGCAAGGTTTGTGGCGGTTTCGATCAACAGGCACATATCGGGGCGCTAGCAGCGCCCACCGTCCGCTGGAGAACTGCACTGTATCAAAAAATCAATAAAGACGTTTAGATCACCACTTAAACGTTCCCTAGCACATAGAGTAAAAGAGCTTAGTGGTACCCGTAACCTGAAACAGCTTGCGGCTTACATAAAGACGTTCATCCATCATGCACCAGTGGAGCAGCTTCTTGAAGGGTTAGATGGGAAGAAATATATCATCCGGAAAGAGAAAGGCGAAGCTTCGGCTGACTATTTCGAGAGCGTTTTGTTCAACCGACAAATGAATATCAAATGACGACTCCTGATGTAGGAAAGTGTCTCCAATTACGTATCATTACTCCATGTAGTTTTCAAAGAACCACGTGCTATTAAGCCGTCTCTCCCAGTTACTGCGGATGGAATATCGCAGTATTTCTTCCAGCACTTCGCCAAAGAAATTGCTATCCCCTTGGCACCATCTGCTTGATATTTCTCTGATTCTAGGTCAAGTGCGTGCTATATGGAAACATGCAATAGTTACACCTATTCCGAAGGGCAGTGGATCAAGCAAAGTGTCTTGCATTCTAAGCCGATATACTTCATGCACTCTTCTACTGAGATCTGAGAAAATAACAGACCAAAACCTTCTAGATTGGGTGATCAAAGAACAATGTATACCTCATGAACAGTTCGGTTTTCTACCAGGAGCATCCACCTGCACCCGACTGATCGATTTCACTCATACCTGGATAGAGGCCCTCAATCTTGGGAAGGAACTAGATGTATGCTACTCGACTTAACCAGAGACATCCAAAGCCTTCGATACCGTATGCAGTAACCGCCTTCTGATCAAATTAGGAAGCGTTGGAGGTAAAGGAAACATATTTCAATGGTTTAAAGCTTACCTTGCAAAGTGAAAAATGAATATTTGCTTTGCTGACTATATATCATCTGATAGAAATTGCCCGTCTCAGGGAGGATCTCTTTCTCCTCTCTTATTCCTTATTTTACAAATGACCTTCTAAAGACATCCATGTTATGACAGTAGATTTAATGTTGCTGCATACGCTGATGACATAAAAGTCTTGATTGCCTACGTTAGTGTGAACGAAACAGTGCTCAAAAAATTCTAAACAGTGCTATCGATCGCATGCAGCAATGGTGTTATCAGTGGGGGCTCAAGATTAGCAAGCAAAAGACCTTTATATTCTCACTTGGATCACTTGGATCGACCTCGCTGGAGATTCATTTTCCTGACAACACAGTTTTGGAGCGGTTGAACGGTGTCAAAGATTTAGGTATCGAATCTCCTAAAGTGGTCGATTCCATGTAAATATAAATCAAACCAAGCTCTTCAAGATGCTACAATTTATTCTGCTTCAAAAGTATTCATAGCTTTTGACATTTCATTGTGGATTGAGACCTATCGGACATATGTTCTCCCACCAATCGAGTACTGCAGCCCCGTCTGGTGTCCTTCATTGTAAAAGATATCCAAAAAATCAAGAATGTGCAAAGAACATTCACGAGAATTCTGTACTACCGTGCATATCCCAACAATGATTACCAAGCCCTGCCCTCGTATCGAGCACGCCTTAACGTACTCAATTTGAAAACCTTATTCTACAGACGTATTCAAGCTGATTTAATACTAGCTTTTAAGATTCTGAAAGGTGGATTACGAAGCCATCGAGATACTGGGTTTTTCGGCCAACAAATGTACTAAGAATTATATTTCAAACCTACACCACAAAATGGGCATCAAGCTTTAGAAGAACAATTGTCTCATCTCCGGCCGAACAAATGGCGTAGGGCTCTCTACTCAGCATTTTCATACAATTGCCATCAAAGCAATCAGAAAATGCAACCCCGCCCCCCCCCCCCCCCAGAAAGTCAACCTTCTGGAATGCCTGATGTTACAAATTGTTTTGAATAACTCGCATATTACGTACAATCCCGTGATAGGGTATGAACGTACCACTTCGGATCGGCTGGCCCAACGCTGGCGCTCCCCTTAGCGGCGGGCGCCTGCTGAGCTGCTTATCGCGCTTGGCAAAGCTGAGCTGCGTATTCAACTACTTGGCTGATGCAGAACGTACCTTTGAACAGTGCGGTCAACGATCCGTAACTTAGCACGCAGCGAATCCGCGCCCACCCGGCGAAGCCGGGCCATGTCACAGAACGAGGAGCGCCCGGCGACAGCTGGACGATCCGACTGGTGACTTTATACTTCACCCAATTTTGTGAACGCATTCCATTGTCTAGCTCAACCAGTTTAAATCGGGCTCAGATCTGCTCAACTGGCTGAGCATTTCTCTCTTTCTTCTTCCTTTTTGTCCTTTTCAGCAACTGCATTGAACTCTTCTTTTCATCACTTCGCTCATATTGCTGTAAACGTAAATGACTTTTGCTGTAGCGCGTCCTATGGATGCATTGTAAATAAATAAATGAATAAATGCTAGGTTCGCTTAACTCGCCTTCTTTTACAGAAGAACTTAGCGGAAAGTTGTTGTGCCGAAGAACTGTAAGATAAAACTTCCTGTAGTAATCCATGATTTTGAATACAAAGTAACCGGATATTCTCCTTTCTCGAATGAAGCAGGGAGAAAAGTTTAAGAAAACGTGGTACTTAAGTGTTCGAAGGAGTACTCTGCCCTTACACTTTTGTTTTAGGGGTGAGGAGGCTTCGCCAGAAGAAATGCGTGCGTTGGCACAAGCATGCCCACAGATTCCGCCAGAAGCGGGATGACAGCATCAGCTAGCTCCTTGACTTCAAGATTATCCAGCGGGAGGGAGGAGGGTATTTAGTGTGAATCGGGAAAATCGAGAAATTTATCAGTCAAAGAAAATTTCTCGCAAAACAGGCTTCTATGCGATGTGTTAGGAGATGGCGGTTGCAACTGAAGCAAAATAAGGAGGGAACCCAACAATGGGGAGTGGGGACGTCCTGGTGGTGGTAACATTCGAGCTCTCCGTGCGACACACACTTTGACATGTACAAGCAGTGCAAAGTTCTAATTTTCAGTGCCACCCATGAAACTGTAACTATGCCTCTTCCGAGTGTTAAGGACTCATCCGGACTAATTCAACTTTATCCACTCTGATGTCGCAACTGTGGTCCTAGATGATATGGTGAAGCCTTCTCACTGCTGAAAGTTTGTAGTAAGCAAGAGGGACCAGATGTTGGTAGATCATGACTTGAGCTATTTTCATCTCATTTCCCTACACTTAGTAGTAAAAAAATAAC